TGAGCCCCACTGGGAGTGATTCCTGAGTGCGGAGCCCTGAGCACTGCTGGGTGCACCCCCAAAAAAAATTTTAAAAAGAAGGGCATGGACTACAGCTCTATTTTGAAAGGGCCACGGTGGATAAAGGTAAGGAAACTTCTAGAAGGCAAAGTCAAGAGCCATGGAGGCAAAGAGACCAGGCGATTCTGGCGTGGGGGATGGGGGCAGGAGGAGCCAAGGGGCAGAGTCTTCTCCAATCGAGGAGTCTCTGCAATCCCTCCGTGCCAGGATTGCTGAGGGCTGGCACTGCTCAGCCTCCTGGAGCAGGCAGGAGCCTGGGTGGGGTCTCCGGTCTACTATGCAGAGGGTTCAGCCAAGCATGTCCCAGTCACGAATAAGTCTACCTCTTGGCCGTCCAGTGGGTTCCTGAGGTTCCCACAGCCTCACAGATGCCCAGAAGCCCAGGGCCATCTCTGGGTCACACCCCCCCTCCCCACACCCTTGCCCCCATCCCGTCTTCCTGTCGGGAGGAGAAGCCTCAGCACTCACTCCCCTCTGTGGCTGTTGGGACCGAGACCCGAGAGTTCCTGTCCCCCCTTTCCCAGGATGCAGCGGGGAGCGCCGGAGAGGCCAGCCTTAGACTGAAACCCTCCTAGTGGGGGATAAGCAGCGAGGGGTGAGGCGAACAGGGCAACCTGGCACCAGCCCCTGCCTGTCCAGGGCCCCGGGTGCCCACCCCCTAGCCAAGGGCCTCGCTCACGCACCTCCTTCCCGTCACTCTCACTTTGCAAACCTTGAGAAAAGACTGCTTCTCTGGGAAATCAATTTCCCAAGCTCATTTTCCAAATAATAGGTTTTTAAATGCACCATTTGTTATTTTTATTATTCTTTTATATTTAATTCATATTTAATTTATTATATTTAATTTAATTGCTATCGCTCCACTGGGTTCTATTTCTCCACCCCTCTCGGAGAGCCCGGCAAGCTACCGAGAGTATCTCCCCCGCATGGCAGAGCCTGGCAAGCTACCCGTGACGTACTCAATATGCCAAACACAGTAACAACAAGTCTCACAATGGAGACGTTACTGGGCCTGCTCGAGCAAATTGAAGAACAACGGGAGGACAGTGCAGTGCTGTGCAGTGCAGTGCTAATTTAATTGGGCTGAAGTGATAGCACAGTGGTAGGACATTTGCCTTGCACATGGCCGGCCTGGCCAAGCTGGTTCAATTCCTTCACCCCTCCCGGAGAGCCGGGCAAGCTACCAAGAGTATCTTGCCCGCATGGCAAAGCCTGGCAAGCTATCCATGATGTATTAGATATGTCAAACACAGTAACAACAAATCTCACAATGGAACCTCCTGGAGCAGATCGATGAACAATGGGAGGACAGTGACAGTGATTTAATTTATTATCTTAATAGTTTACTTTTATGCATAGTTTATTTTATATTTTTATTTAATAATTATTAAATTTATATATAAGGGCCTCCCCAGCAGTGTTTGCCCCCACCCCCAGCCAGGCCATTAAGAATGATCCCTGAGGGAGGCCAGAGAGAGAGCACAGTGAGGAGGGTGTTTGCCTGGCATGTCACCAACCCAGGACCATCCCATATGGTCCCCAAGCACCACCAGGAATAATTCCTGAATGAAGAGACAGGAGTCAGGCCTGAGCCCCTCTGGGTGTGGTCCCCAAATCACTCACTGAATAGAAGTACAAATGTTTTTCTATTTTAGAAATGATCTCTGAATACTAACAACAAACATCTCTCTGACATGGTCAAAAAAGTTTAAGTCATTGGTCACGGTCACGGTCATGGTCCTCCCATTGTTCATCAATTTGCTCGAGCAGGCCCAGTAACGTCTCCTTCGTGAGGCTTGTTGTTACTGTGTTTGGCATATCGAATATGTCACGGGGAGCTTGCCAGGCTCTGCCGTGCAGGCGAGATACTCTTGGTAGTTTGCTGAGCTCTCCGAGAGGGGCGGAGGAATCGAACTCGGGTCGGCCATACTGGCTACATGCAAAGCAAATGCCCTACCCACTGTGCTATTGCTCTAGCCCTACGTCATTGGTACTTTCATACAAATGTTAAGATAACAAGCATCTTCACTGCTTCTGCAGACAATAAGACACCTTGGCTTTGTTTTGTTTGGGGGCCACACTCGGTGTTGCTCAGCCTGAGCCCCAGGCTTTGTGCTCAGGACTGACTACTGTCTCTGTGCTCAGGGCAACTCCTGTCTCTGTGCTCAGGGATCACTCCTGGTAGTCCTCAAGGATCACTGCTGGCAGTGCTCAGGGATCAAATCTAGGCCTCGAAAATGCAAAGCACGCACTTATATCCTGGAGCTATTGCTCTGATCCTATGTCATATTCTTTAAAAGATGATAATAAAGAATATAAATATATGTTAAATAAATAAATGTATAAATATATAAACATATATTGTTAAAAAAATAGAATATATATGACAAAGAAATTTGTGTGTGTATGTGTGTGTGTGTGTGTGTGTGTGTATGTGTGTGTGTGTGTCTATGTGTGTTTGGTCCATACCTAGCAGTGCTCTGGTGTGGCCCATTCCAAAAGAATCATTTCTACAGAATGATTACTATAGACACAAATTAAAGCGATAAGCATTTAAAGTAGGGGCTTTAAAAGTTTATGTATACTAGGGCCTTGCATATAGAGTGGTTTTCTGTTTTTGTTTTTTAGTTTTCAAATAATAAACAATAAACACTCCTGAAGAGGCAAATGGAGAACTGGGATGTAGCTGAGCAGAAACCACCTCACTCACGTGTGTGAGTCCCTGGGCTCATCCCTGGCACCACCCACTCACACCAAAGAAAAAGAAAAAAGGAACAATACACAAAAGAAAACAAGGGCGTGGGAAACGCATTACCATTTTAATAGTGCTTTAGGGAGTGGGTGCAGATTTCTTTTCCATCCAAGTCTAAGATGAAATTCTACTTGCATAAGGAGGATACAGGTCCTCAGAGTTCTTGCTGCTTCCTTATGAAAGTTCCCCTCCCGCTCGGTCAAAACTCTGGTGGTTTCCAGAGGATAAAGGGGGCGGGAGGGAGAGATGGATAATGTGGGAATTTTTGTGGAGGGAGGAATGCTGGATTTTACACACAAAGGTGTGATCTACATCCCTGACAACTCAGCACAGAAACAAACCAGTGACGAATCACGAAAAAGGTACAACACAAATTCCCAAGCACAAAATAAGATGCCAATACCACTGTCTTTGTATTTACCAAATGCTCAGAATCACATACTAAATAAAGTACATATGTACAATTTTAAAATGCTGAGAATACACTGTTCACAATAGCCAGAATCTGGCAACAACCCAAGTGCCCGAGAACAGATGCCTGGTTAGAGAAACTATGGTACATCTACACAGTGGAATACTGCACAGCTCAGTGGAATACTATACAGCTATTAGAAAAGATGAAGTCATGAAATTTGCTTATAAGCGAATGGACATGGAGAGTATCATGCTAAGTGAAATGAGACAGAAAGAGAAGGACAGACATAGAATGACTGCACTTATTTGTGGAATATAAAATAACATATGAGACTGACACCCAAAGACAGTAGAGACAAGGGTCAGGAGGACTGCTCCATGAGCTGGGGGAGAAGGCAGCTGGAATAGAGAAGGGATCACTAAGTCAATGATGGTTGGAGGGATTGCTCCGGATGGGAGATGTGTGCTGAAAGTAGATGAAGGACCAAACGTGATAGCCTCTCAGTATCTGTATTGCAAATCATGATGCCCAAAAGTAGAGAGACAGTAAGAAAAATGGTGCCTGCCACAGAGGCAGGGGGTGGGATAGAGTCGGGGTGGCAGGAGGGAAACTAGGAATATTGGTGGTAAGAAAAGTACACTGGTGGAGGGATGGGTGTTGGAACATTGTATGACTGAAACTAAATCATGAAAGCTTTGTAACTGTATCTCACAGTGATTCAATTAAAAAAAATTAATTGAATAAACAAACATACGAGTACAGAAAAAAAATAATGAAATAATGGCTAGAGCAATAGCACAGCAGGTAGGGCATTTGCCTTGCATGCGGCCAACCCAGGTTCGATTCCCAACATCCCATGTGGTCCCCCGAGCACCGCCAGGAGTAATTCCTAAGTGCATGAGCCAGAAGTAACCCCAGTGCAACGCCGGGTGTGACCCAAAAATAAATAAATAAATAAATAAAAATAATGAAATAAAATGCTGAGAACTAGCCAAAAGAAACCTCCTAGTATTCCAAACAACAAACAAATGGTTCTGGTATTCTTGTTTGTTTGTATTAAAAGGGCTGGAGTGATAGCACAGCGGGTAGGGCATTTGCCTTGCATGTGGCCGACATGGCTGACCTGAGTTCGATTCCTCTGCCTCTCTTGGAGAGCCTGGCAAGCTACTGAGAGTATCTCGCCCGCACGGCAAAGCCTGGCAAGTTACCCGTGAGTATTCGATATGCCAAACACAGTAATAAGTCTCACAATGTTACTGGGCCCGCTCGAGCAAATCGATGAACAATGAGAGGACAGTGACAGTGACACTTATTTTATAAGGGGTAGCAACTCTGCTTATATAGGGCAAGGAGATTACTATAGTGTTTGAAAGGAATTAAGTCAATTTATTATGAGGAATAAATTCTCTAATGAAACAAAATTGACAGCAGTGCTAACAGGAAAGGAAAGCGAAATCTACCCCATGCGTTGTGACAGAACAGAGACACATCAGATGGGGCCCAGGTTGAAATCAAGTATCGCTTGGGGCCAGAGACACAGTACAGTGGGTAGAGCTCGCCTTGCACATGGCTGATACAGGTTCAATACCCAGCACCCCATCTGGTCCCCCGAGCTACCCAGGAACAATCCCTGAACACAAGGCCAGAAGTGAGCCCTGAGCAATGTTGGATGTGGCCCTAAAGAGCAACAAAAACTATTTTGCAGTGACCCATGGGTGTGGGGGGCAAGGAGCTGGCCCCTCCCCCAGGCCACCCCAGCCCGGAAGCACCTACCGAACCTGGTTCTCCAGGAAGTGCATGTAGCGGTAGAGCAGGGTATAGGACGGAGACAGGATGCCCACGGACTTCATGCGGGCACCACGCTCCAGCTCGCTCTCCACGGGCATGTTGGCGAAGCAGGCCAGGCCGAAGAAGGGGCCCTTCCGGAAGTAGCTGCAAGAGAGCACGGCAGTGAGGCCTGAGAGCTGGCCCCGGGCCCCCCATGACATGAAGCCCCTCAGCAGAGCTGAAAACCACCTTGAGAATCTCAGGGTTGGAGGAGGGCAAAGCCTTAGCCCAAGGCATGGAACCTTCCAGATGAGATCACCAAGGCTCGAAGGGTGCCCAACTAGAGCAAGACTTGGTCTGTCTCCAGTAGTACAGAGGCCCGGACCACAGACAGATCCTGCTCTTCTCTGCATCACAGCCAAGGATTCGATGGGACCCAGAACATGGGCTGCATCAGGCCCGTCAAGTCCTGTTTGACCAGCCTCAACCCCATGGAGCCTGCCTGGCTTCCCGGGCCAGGTGGGACGGAGCTGTCCCCGTTCCCAGCCCTTTCTCCCGGCTCTCCGTTAAGGTTTCAGCCCAGAGAGATGACAGCCTCCTCCTGCCTCTCTAGCCTTCTTAGGAGGAGGGGGAAATTCTCCTCCTCCCCTGGGAATTTCTAGCAGTACCGCTGCACTGCACTGAACTGTTTCCTGTTCTTCATCAATTTGCTCAAGCAGGCACCAGTAATGCCGCACAACAAATTGTGAGACTTGTTGTTTCTGTTTTTTGGCATATCGAAAACGTCACAGGTAGTTTGCCAGGCTTTGCCATGCAGGCAAGATATTCTTGGTAGCTTGCCAGGCATTCCAAGAGGGGTGGAGGAATCGAACCCGGGTCTGCCCGTGCAAGGCAAATGCCCACCCGCTGTGCTATCCCGGGGTCCAGTGATGGCTGCGAAGGGGAGAGAACCTGTCTGGGTGGGAGATCTGAACATTTGCAGGTCATGAAACCATCGAGAACCTCAGGCGAGCCAGAGACTTTCTTACTAGGAAAGAGGGAGAAATGTAAACACCCCAAGTTTTCAGGTTGTTTATACACAACTCCAGAGGGTCGCCTGGTAAGACAGGGCACGCCCCGGAGACAGCTGTCATGGGAGAGATGGCGCAGGCAAGACCGACATTCCAAAATACTTACATAAAATCAGACTGAATTTTATGGGACCCACTGGCCATAGACTTGAACTCAACCCCTTCCAGGTCAATATCTTGAGGTAAGCACCATTCCACCATGTTTCCTATGGGAGAGAAAGAGGATGCAGGTTAAAAGGGTCAAGACCAGAAGGCTGAGGCCAACCCAGTGGCTTGGGAGACCTGTCTAGCACACGTGAGGTCTTGAGTTCAATCTCCGGGGTCACCACATGCCCCAAGCACAATCACCCTCACTGCCCTTCCACCGCTTCAAAATCCATCACTTCAATCTAACAAGCAGAAAGTGCCACCCCTTGGCACCCAACCCAAAGCTCCCCTAGAACATTCCAGAGCCCCCACTGCCCCCACCCCCCCAGTGATGGCATTACTGATTCTGGGAAAGGATGAAGTTCCTTTTTTCCTCTAACCCTGACTCAATTCTCTCTGAGCTGCAAAAGGAGCAGAGAGAGAGAGAGAGAGAGAGAGAGAGAGAGAGAGAGAGAGAGAGATGCAGAGGATAAGGACATAGCTGATGGCCATGGTAGTAAAAATCCCACCTTCTAACACTCCCAACCAGCGTGGCTGGCTTTCAGAGTGCACACTAACTCCCCCCCCATCATCTAGATTCCTTTCTGTCTGTCTTCTCCTCGCTCTGGGTTCGCATCTCCATTTTCACCATGTTCCTCGCCCGTGGGGAGGCAGGGACCCTCGCTTGGTACGTTCACTCTCTCCATCTTCGACCCGGCTCATGGTTGAAGCGCATTAAGCTGATTTCCAGTCCCAAGCCATTACTAACTGGACCGCAAGGAACAATCCGATCCTTGTCATCTAGGGCAGAGACAGCAGCGGCTTTGTAATGCCTGGACCTGGCGCGGTCAAGCAATGCTTCGGAGAATGGCCTTGTATGCTTCCAGCGAAGGGGACACGGTCCTCATGTGGGGCTTTAGGGGGGGGAAGGCCTGTGCCGGGGCCTCAGGCAGATACATGCTTGCTGGCCTGCACATGCATCAGGGCGAAGGGTGGAGCACTCACCCCAATGCAGTGCCAAGGACCCACCTTCCTCAGGGTCCCCTTTCAGCTCCTAACTCCTAATCTGGTACACATTTACACTTTTTATCTGGGGGGGGGGGGGGGCATATCCATCATTGCTCAGGCTTATTCCTGGCTTTGCACTCAGGGATCACTCGTGGCAGGGCTCAATGGACCATATGTGGTACTGAGGATTGAACCTGGGTTGGCCGCATGCAAGGCAAAGACCCGCTATACTCTCTCTCTCTCTGACCCGGGTATATGTTGACTGCACTATCAGGAGCCCATCTAAGTGCCCCAACTTCCCATCCACGTTCCTGACTCCCAGCTTACTCGTCTTCTCGCATCCTGCTCTCTCTGTAACTGCTGGCCCAGTGGACTTCAAACCCAGGCAACAGTCAGTGTAAACTAACTGCACTGCACTGTCCTCCCATTGTTCATCGATTTGCTCAAGCGGGCCCAGTAATGTCTCCATCGTGAGATTTCTTGTTACCGTGTTTGGCATATTAAATACGTCACGGGTAGCTTGCCAGGCTTTGCCGTGAGGGCGAGATACTCTCGGTAGCTTGCTGGGCTCTCCGAGAGGGGTGAAGGAATCGAACCCGGCTCAGCCTGGCTGGCTGCGCGCAAGGCAACGCCCTACCGCCATGCTATCGCTCCAATGGTTTAAAAGTGCCAAGCTCTGTAAACTGTGTGTGGCAACCTCACCTAGGGCCTCCTAACTTTGGAAAATGTTTTCAAGTCTATTTCTTTGGGCTGTATTCACAGCAAGTGTTGATTCATATGTCTATTTTTCTAGCCTATAGTAGCTGGAGTTGTATAAAATTTCTAGGGTAGAAAGTTGAGGGCACCCAAGCTAGCTAACCAGCTCCCCAAACGACCTAGGATAAAATTCTGCCAAAATCCAAATTCCACCCCCTGTCCTAGTGGTTCCGTATCTGTGGTTGAATAGGAGCAGGATTCCTGGGCAGCTATTTGCATCACTGAACACCAAGAGCCTTCAGGAATTCCCAATGTGGCATTTCTAGAGGGCTTCAACAAAAAATTAAATTTTAAAAAAGGAGGGTGGGCTTTGGCCAAATTCCCATAGGTTAAACAAAAACACATTCCCTCCCTGCTGTAGGCCCAGAACCTTCATTCACTGTAACTCAGAAGGTGACTTTCTCAGTGCTCAATATTTCCAAAATTATTTGGCCAAAAAATGTTTTTGGCTTTTTTCTTTTTTGGGGGGGGGGGGAACACATCCAGCAGTGTTGAGAGCCACTCCTAACTCATTACTCAGGAGTCACCATACAAGGCCAAGGACACAGCCCAGAGCACCCTCATACAAACACGTCTCCCCAGCTCCTCTCCCAAAACCTATTTTTAGGAGCATCCTAAGGAAGGGGACTATCTCTTTGGAGAGAGGGGGTGTGAGTCACACCCAGCAGTAATTGGGGATCACTCCTGGCAGTGTGGGGGATCATATGCAGTGCTGGGGATCGAACAGGGGTCTGCCACATGCAAGGTGAGCACTGGGCTGGAGGTAAGGCACGTGCCTTGCACAGAACCGGCTACAATCCTTGGCACCCCATAGGGTCCCCTGAGCCCAAGCAGGAGTGATCACAGGAGAAGCCACAGCAGGAGGTGACTAGGAATTGTTGACAATGAGACTGGTCTACATGGTTAATTCCTCAAAGCCCACAGAAAGGACAAAAGGAGTGAACCCCAAGGTAAACTATGCATTTATAACACCAGTCCCTGATCAGTACATCAGGGACTGGAGCAACAGGACAGCAAAAGGCAAGTGCCTTTCAACACAGATGAACCAGGTTCGAGCCCCAGCATCACAGGAAGTCCCCCAAGCCCACCAGGAGTGATCCTTGAGCACCAGATCCAGAAGTAAGTCCTGAGCACCAATAAGTGTGGTTCCCCAAACAAACAAAAACAACCCAATCAGATTAGTATATCAATTGTAAGAAATGCACCAAACTAATATAAGATGTTTGTCACAGGGGCAAATCACGGGGAAGTGGGCGGTGGGGACTAATGGTCTTTTCTGGTCAGTCTGCTTTTTATTTTTATTTATTTTGCTTTTTGGGTCACACCCGGCGATACACAGGGGTTACTCCTGGCTCATGCACTCAGGAATTACCCCTGGTGGTGCTCGGGGGACCATATGGGATGCTGGGAATCGAACCCGAGTTGGCTGAGTGCAAGGCTAACTAAGTGCAGTGCAGTTAACTTAGTTAACTGAGTGCAGCCCTACCCGCTGTGCTACCGCTCCAGGCCTCAGTCTGCATTTTTAAATTTAATTCTTCTTTTTCTTCCTTTGGCTAGAGGTCAAACCCAGGGCCTCATCTGTCCCCTAGAGACTGTCCCCTTCTAGAGACTTGAAGCATCCCTCAAAAATAAATTTAAAATATTTTTTATTTAAAGGTCTGAATTTGGCCGTTGTCAAATAGAAAGGGAATAGACGTTCTGCATGTCACGGGCCTTGACTCACTATGACGGTATTTGTGTACCTGACAGAAGCTGAGAGAGGAGGCATTAAAGGTGCTCATCACAAGACCACAGGTGACAGGAGAGGTGTCACGTGAACTTATCGGGGATCAGTCTGCAATGCCAAGAGTGAAACGCATATACGGCTGGATGCCAGTTACACCTAAGAAGGACACCATTTATTAATTTAAATAGGCCAGCAGATGCATTATCCCCGGCTAATTAGTCTCAAAGTAGTAGATTTAATGTGGTTTGGGAGCGACTGGCCTTCTTCGTAGGAGATTTACACTGAGGTCTTTAGAAATGAAATGCTTGCCAATTCAACCAGCTCTGGGAAAAAGAAAAGATTCCGTTTACACAGAGTTCTGTGATAACATTGACTTTGTATTTGTTGTTTGTTTTCGGATAATCGCTCTAATGGGAACCCGATGATTGTGGGTAATTCCACATCTGTGCATAGGAGATTTCCCTCTCCTGCAGGGCTGGGCAGGTAACAAAGCACCTGCCCCCAGCTGCACGGAGCCTACTCCACAGCGCCCCCTGCCTGTGTCCACGCACACGGCGGGGCGGCTCACGAGGACAGCTGGTACCAGTATCTCACTTCCTTTCAGCAAGCAGGTCCCCTTTAAGGCAGCCCGAAGGTGCCCATCTCCTCTGATAAAGAGCCATCATCTGAGTGGTGATGTTTTCCTAACCATTCAACAGACAGAAAACCATTTTCTCAGGCCAGGGACCTACTATAGTGGGTAGGGCGCTTGCTTTGCACAAGACTACCTGGGGTTCCATCCCTGGCACTCTCTGGTGCCCTGCCGGGGCAGGGCACTCAGATTCCTGAGTGCAAGGTCAGGCGGAAGCCCAGAGCACCTACTGCCATGACCCAAACAACCTCGAATTCTTTTTCTGTCATTTTTATTGAGATTTGAAATGTGGAAACCAATAATGTTCAGAGGGTTGGACCTCTCACCTCATTTCCCCCCCAAAGCCCTGAGACTTTTACTTCTCGATTTTCCCAGAAGATTGTGCATCGCCACAGAGCTGAGTGCAGCAAGAGAACACCAGTGAGCACTAACCTACGTGCCCGAGTGACAGAAGGTCACCGGAGGACTTGCCTGCACTAATCTTGCAACTTCGCTGAGGTCTAAACAGTTTCAACATACATGCTGGGAAGACATCACTGAAATAGCAGAGATGGGGCGGGAGAAACCATAAGTAAAGCACAAAGGCCGTTGCAAGGCATGTGATCACCGAGGCACAATGAGGCAATCGGGAAATGAAGGAGGTTTAGGTCATCCTCCAGCAGAAATACCACACTGTGCTCAAGAGCAGGAAGCCAGTTTATTGAGGAAACTTCTAGAGGCACCTAAGAAAATGAATCATCTTCATGGCAAGATGTTAGAGAACCCTTGAGGGGATCGTCCCTTAGTCTGGACACCCCAAGTCTCTGCTTTTCCGCATGTCAGATCCCACCTTTGGAAGGATCCATTTGTCACGTGCAGGGACCATCCCAAGAGAAGCAAAAAGGGGTGAATCAAGACCGAAAGGCAGTGCTCCCCGAACTTCCTCTCCTCCCCCTCCTCCAGGGACCTCTGATACCCAG